TCAGAATGACACATTTATCACACTGGCATTATTCCCATGGCAACTGGCTGTGATAGCAGACTGACAGCTCTTCAGCGAGATCAAGGAGTGAAAAGGGAATGAGCGCTGACTTTGAGTTTGTCTCTTAAACCTCTCCGAAGCCTAGCCAGACGCAGGCGGGAAGGAAAATTCTCTAGAAAAATCATACTTGACAACTCCACTCTGCCTGTAATTTCCTGTTGCTCCCGGGGGACCGTACGTCCTCCCCCAGCTATAACCAAGGCTCGCTCCCCAGAGGGGACAGAACACGGCTCTAGGAAGCAGAGGAAATTGTTTCTAGGAGGGACCCGAGCTACCTTGCCAGGTCCAGAGGGCATTTTGGGGATCCCTGGATCACTCCAGAGGTAAATCCATTTGAATCAAAGGCTTAAAACAAGAATGGGGAAATCGCTCATTCTGTAAGCATCAGGCCCTGAGTCCCAGCCTCCAAATCCACGTTTTAAAAAGGTCAGATGTAGTGGCACACTCTTGTAACCCCAGCACCGGGAGAGCGAATACAGGCAGGACTCGCTGGCTGGCCAGCCTAGACCACTCAGCGAGCTCTAGGTTCAATGGGAGACTCAGTCTCAAAAATAAGACGGCGGTTACATGAGGAAGACACCTGACATCAACACCTGGCCTCCCACAACCCACACAACTCATACACAAGCACCCACATAGAGCATGCACTCAGGGCTTGCACACATACACACAAATACACAAACACGCAAAGTTTTCAAAAGTTGGTCTTAATTACAGGGAAGGATTTTTTTTTTTTCAGGGAAGGACTTAAATCACAAGAATAATCAGAGAACACAAAGAAGGAAAGAAAAATCAGTCACCCAGGACAGCATCTCTGTAACTCAGGCGTGTGACCCTTCCTCCATGCATACCTACAAACATGGACTGTGTGTATTTGTTATTTTAATTATTTAAATATTGTTATGTGTGTGAGAGTAGGCCTGCACAGGTGGGGGAGGGGCAGTACAAGCAGTGGCCAGAAAGAGGGTATTCAACTCCCTGGAGGGAGTTCCAGGCACCTGAGTGCGGGCCACCCAGCTGGTGTGGGGACGAAGACCATAGACTTTTGGAAAAGCATCCGGTGCATACAACTGTGGAGCCATCTTTGCAGCCCCAGGTGCATGTTTTAAAAGAAGATGATGCTGTCTCACAATTTATTCTTCATCCCTGAGGCAAATATGCACATCAGTGATTCAGACAGGAAACAAGAGAGGGAGCCCCACTGCCCTTCAGAAGGGGGACCTGAGGAGGCGGGTTTCTCTTGACTTAGGAAAAGATACAACAGGAAGTAGTCCTGACTGCAGAACGTGAGAGGAAGTGCATGCGCTCAGCAGATGTGCAGGAGAGAATTCTTTCCCATGCTATGACCTCCCTGGGGCTCACCAATTTTATGCATGGCTGCCAATCTTATAACAGCTGCTGGTTGTCTGAGGTCACCCAGATGGACGTAAGGGACAGAAACAAGTTGACCTGAGGCCTTGGAGGCGAGGGTGCAATTCAGTTTCTTGGCTCTGCTATACAGACAACATCATTTCAACCTGCAGCTGCCACCCTACCGAGAGCTCGGAAGGATTTCTGACATGCCAACCGCTTCTTCAACCTGTATACTTTTTCATGTACGCTTTCTACACTAACTACCTGTAGTCATCTGTAGTCATCTGCATGTGTGTCTGTGTGTATTTGCACATGTGTGCAGGTGCATGGGTCTGCATGCCTGTGGAGGCCTGATAACAGGCATCTTTCTCAGTCATTTTCTACCTTATTTTTTAATGTTTTTAATTGTGTGTGTGTGCGTGTGTGTGTGTGTGTGTGTGTGTGTGTGTGTGTGCTGTAAGCTGCCCAGCATGTGTGCCAGGAAGTGAACTTGGGTTCTCTGCAATGTGTACTCTTAGCCTCTGAGCCATCTCTCCAGTGCCTCCACATTATTTGTTTGAGATGGGATCTCACTGATCCTGGAGCACAGGAACGAAGTACCCTGGTTGGCGGGTGAGCTGGGGATCCTCCTGTGTGCACCTCCCCAGCACTGAGGTAACAGAAGTGGAGCCATCACACCTGGCTGGTTTTATTTGCCTCCCTCCCTCCCTCCCTTCCTCCCTCCCTTCTATTTTAATGCAGGTGCTAGAGATTGAAATTGGGTTTTTGGCCCAGTGGGTGCTAGAGATTGAAATTGGGTTTTTACCCAGTAAACACTTTACCAGCATCTCTCCAAGTCCTGCAGAGTTTGTTACCTTTCCTTTAGGTTTGTGTCTTATTTAGGTCTTCACTGCCATGATAAAGACCATGAACACAAGCAAACTGGGGAGGAGAGGGATTATTTCAGCTTACAGTTTCATGTCATAGTCCATCAATGAGGGAAGTCCTGGCAGGAACTTGAGGCAGGAGCTGATGCAAGGGCCAAGGAATGCTACTTAACTGGCTCACTCTTCATGGCTTGCTCAGGACCACCAGCCCAGGAGTGATGCCATCCACAGTGAGCTGGTCCTCCCACATTAATCATCAGTCAAGACACTGTACCACAAGCTTGACCACAGGCCAGCCTAGTGGGGGCATTTTCTCACTTGAGGCTCCTGCTTCCCAAATCCCTCTAGCTTATGTCAAAGCTAGCCAACACAGCTGGTTACCACTGTCAGGGTCACATTTACCACCTTTGCCCCTCTAAGGCATCTCCTTTGAGGTCACGAGCTCCTGTCTTTATGAGATGCTAAGATGGCTCACTGGTAAAGGCATCTGCTGCCTTAAGTCCTAGGTTCCACTTCCTGGGATGCGCAGAGTAGGAGGAGAGAACCAACTTCCACAGGCTGTCCTCTGATCCCCACATGCCAACCATGGTGCATACCTTTCACACACACACACACACACACACATACATACATACATGCATGCATACAAAAACATGCATAATTTTTTTTCTTTTTCAAGAGAAGGTCTCACTCTGTAGTTCTGGCTGTCCATGAACTCACTATGTAGACCAGCTGGTCTTGAACTCACAGAGATCCACCTGCCTCTGCCTCCCAAGTGTTGGGATTAAAAGCATGTGCCACTACACCTAGCAAGTAAAAATATTTTAAAATTATTTTTACACTGTAACATTAAACATTGTAACATTAAATCTAAATTTCTTTTTAAATAAAGACTGAGTTGAAGATTTGAGATTTATTTCCTAGAAACACGTAGTTTTTGGCCAATTCATTTCTTCCCTATTTACTTGAGAGATGTCAACTTTATTAATTTTCCAGTTTGCATTGGAGTTTTACATTGCTTTTCACCAAGCTACTTGTCCATTCCCACATCAATATCAGTCTATAACACTCCTTTCGGCTTAGGCTTTTAAAGCAAGCCAGGCTTCCTCCAGGCTCTAGAAGTCTCAATTAAAGAAGAGCCACCTGCTATAAAAGCAGCATTTGAAACACCAAGTGTCAAGTTACATTATTTCTCACCAACACAAAATGAACATTCAATACCTATCTGATACATGACTTTTTCCAAGTAGAGAAACATTTCATTTGTTTATTTGTTTATCTGTTTATTTAGTTATAGAGAGGCTCTCAGCAGGTAGTCTATCTTGGTCTTGTAGTTGTAATGCAACCCAGGCTGGCCTGAACCTCGTGTCCTCGAGCCTCTGTCTCCCCTAGGCCAGGATAAAGGCATGCGCCACCATGCCCAGAAGGGAGTCATTATAAATAGTCACAAATCTGATTTTACTTCCAGGGAACTTGATCCTGGATGAAGTTACAGAAAATAATGTATGCACCAGAGACTACAAGTCCTGTGCACAATTCATGGAGACAGAAAAATGATTTCTTAATTTCAAATAACAAAAATCTACTGTATTCACAATATGAGCAGGCACTAATTGTTGCAAATTTATAGACTTAACACAGAGATGTCATTTATGATTTTATAACCTGACCTTTATTTATCAGAAGGAGAGCAAGAGCCTGTGTGTGAAGAAGCCAGAGAGGACATCAGTTGTCCTGCTCACCATCTACTTCCCTGGAGACAGGGTCTCTCACTGAACCTGCAGCTAGGCTGGCAGCCCGCAAGCCCTAGAGACCCCTCTCTCCACCGCCCACACTGCTGTGCTCACAGGTGCATACACGGCCACACCCAGGGTTGCTGGGGATCAAATCCAGGTCCTCACGCTTGCACAGCACGCTCAGCTGCCCACCGAGCGAGCCATCTCCCCAGCCCCTTAGCCTATTATTTTAAATCCTATCCCAATGGAACGATGTGAATTCCTGACGTCGGTGAGTGAAAGTCACTCACGGACCCATATGGCTTTGCAGTGTAGACATCACTGTCTGTGCCTCTCACCTCCTGTACATGGGGACCTACAGAGGAACTGTGCACTGTGACACTCTCGTGCTCCCTAACCTCAGAGGTGCGTCACAGGCGGCATGAGCCTTCTGCTCAGACCTCCTAATATTCACACCTCACCGTATTTAGTGAAGGCAGAAGTAGAATAACAGTGACATCTAATGGCCACAAAGCATTTCTTTCGCGTAGAACTGAACATACACTGGGTTGAAAGGCTAACTCGGGTAATTTCCCACCGCACACACCAGGCTTATAGTTTAAATTTCACAGCGTGGCTGGCCCTGCGAGTCTTGAGTGACTATCAGAAGTTACGTTGCGTGTTGTACAAACATCTCATTTCGTTATTCTACATTAGTTTCACTAGGTCCATTTCTCTCCAATAGCGCCGATAACAGTCGGCAGTTATTGTGCTAATAGCCTGTCAATCATTTAAAATGACCCTCACCAGAGTTCTGAGCAAACTGGAAACGAATTATTTGTATTCTGCACATATGCAGTTCCCTTGGTCAAACGACAAGAACACACAGAATTCTCAGCACAGGGGCAATTACTTTGCTGAGAATTTTCTAGATACGATCAGCCAGGAGCCCTGGCACACAGGCCAGAAAGCCCAGTGGCCCCCACCCACCAGTGTCCCTGCTCACCTATTCCTGAGTCCTTGAGGGTTCTGTCTTCCTTTAGCAGGAGTGTGTCATCGTCCTCCAAACCCAACACAAGCTCATTTGTCTAAGAAGAAAGAGTATCGGATGTGAGGGCGATCTGGCTGCGACATCTGTCACCCCATTGATCGCCAGGGTTGATTCGGCTGATCTGGCTGGCTAGGCGGGTGTCCCCTTCCTCCCTCACCACTCCATGTGCGTCCCTCCCGAAGCTGCGCGCTCAGTCGAAGAGGACGGTCAAAGAGGACAACCTTCCCCGAATAGAGGAGGACCGGTCTTCGGTCAAGGGTATACGAGTAGCTGCGCTCCCCTGCTAGAACCTCCAAACAAGCTCAAGAAAGAGTATCACTTGATAAGAACACATGGTCGTGACATCCCGCAGACCTGAGAGCGTTACGAGGAGGGGCTAGGGAAACAGTCAAACCAGGGTTACAACTCAGGCTCCCTCAGTGCCCAGCTCTGTGTGCCCAACGCCAAAAACTTCTCCAAGCTTTAGGCACCTTGCACCTAGAGAAAGGGAGAGAAGTGCAGGAGGATGTGCGGGGATCTAGCGCGACCCTCAGTGCTGTCTGCTGTGACCAGGCTGCATCCCCACCACAAGAATTTGGGAGGAACTGCAGAGGTGCAGGCCCAGGGCACAAGGCTCACCAGAGGTGGAACTAAAGACTCACCCCTGACAATGTGACTTCTGAGAGAAGCAACTTGGCCTTAAGTGGCCCCAAGGACACATAGTTAGAAGTGTCCAAGCTGACAAAGATTTCAGCCTATGTCTTATTAACTGTCACATTTCTGTGTGATTTGGAATGGCAGCGGTGGTTGTTCTCCAGTGATATTTACAATTCTAGTTGGGCACCAGGGGAGACAATTTGGAGTTGTTGTCTTCCCCTGAACAGCACCTGGAAGTGACTGAATTGGCCTCACAGTGTCACCTGCCAATCAGAATTCAGCTGTTTAGTAGTACATTCTAGTTCCATGGGGTGGGGAGGGGTGAATGAAGGCTGGAGAAGGGGTGCATGTGGAATGGAGGCCAGAAATCAGTGTTATGTGTCTTCCTCAATCCCCACTCCACCTTATTTGTTTCGACAAGGTCTTTTGAAGAACCCGGAAGTCACTGATTAGCTGGACTAGCTGGCCATGAGCCCTGTGCAAATTATAGTGCTTGCTAACACACCTGGCCTTTCATGTAAGTTTTAGGGATCTGAACTCTGGCCCTCATGCTTGCAAGGCAAACGCTTCACTGATTAAACCATTCCCGAAGCCCAGTTTACCCTATTTCTACAATGTGTTTGAGACAGACTCAACAGAAAGGTCTCTCTACTGCCTAAACAGAAGCCCCACAAGCCAGAGGCTGTGTTCCATGGTTTGTGAACTTGACTTGCTACAGAGGGCCTTGAACCCCAGAGCACTCCCACTGAAAAATAAATTCATGCTTTATTAAGAGACCTTTTAGAACACAAGAGTCTAAATTCTCCAAGCACATGAACAGCAAATACTGGAAATCCTCCTCTCCCCTATGGCCAGCTGTGGAGCTCTTCTCTGCAGAGCCTGTGCCTGCCCATGTATGCTTCCTGACACCACACATGCGTGGGTGTGCCTGTAAGCTCCGCTGTGCAAACAGAAATGTACCATGTGCTGTATTCTAAAGTCTTACTTTTTTCTCTCTTAAAAAAAAATATGGCTGTAGGGTTGGAGAGATGATTCACTGTGTAAGAATGTTTTCTGTGCAAGCATGAGGACTTGAGTTCAAATCCCCAGTCCCCTCAAAAAACCGAAGGTCTCTGTGACTACAGTGCCTAAACAGGAGTTGTTTGGGTTTACTGCCTTCAAGCCTGATTCTGGACCCAGCAAGAGATCCTGTCTCACGGGAGCATGGTACAAGGGGTTAAGAGTAGGGAGGCAACACCCTCCTCTGGCTACTGCACATCCACACACGGGGGAGGGAGGTGCCGATCCTAGCATTCACCGCTCTGCTTCATGATCGTAAAGCCTTGCCTTCCCCTCCAGGACGCACTGTACCCCACACTGTGTTTCAGGTCTATAAATGTTCCAGAAAAGTCTCTCTCTCAAGGTGCTCTGTCAGGTATGCTGTCATACAGCATACCTGACAGAGCATACAGCTGGGAGGAGAGTAACTAATAAAATGCAAAACAAAGCCAAACCTTGCCTTCCCTACTGTTTAGAAACCGGAACAAAACTGCTCCTCAGATGCAGCCTGTGGGCAGACTGGCAGAACATTCCGGTACCCATAAAAGGAGCAGATGCCACACTGCAGCCTCAGACAGGCGTGAACCCAGCGTTCTGAGACACCGTCAAGTTTTCATATGCAATAAATGCCGCCATCCCTAACCTGAAACAAGCTGACACTCTCGGCCACTTGCTCTCGTCATCTGACACACATCTATCTTGAAAGCTTGAGTTTACAACTGGACCAATGGCTTGAAATAAGAATGAAATGAAATTAATTCATGAATAAATACTTCACCCAAAACTTAGGGAGGGTCAGTGAGATGGCTCAGAGGGCAAAGGCGCCTGGAACCAAGCCCGAGGAGCTGAGTTTGATCTGTGGAACCCCGCTAGTGGAAGGGGAGAAGAGAATCCTGAAAGCTGACCTCTGAGCTCCACAGATGCACCATGGCACGCACATATGAATAAATATATGCAAATGAAATAAAGGTTTAAAAAGCTATAAAATTCTATGACCCGGGCATCACACATTAGGTTCTAGAGGCGTAAAGAGGTATGAATGAGATATTCAGGGCTGGGACGTAGTCCAGCCGGTGAGCTGTTTGCCACACAAGTGTGAGGCTCTGAGTTCAAAAGCTGGGCATAGTAGTGCATGTCTACCCCAGTGCTGGCAACGTGGGGAAAGGATGAGCCTGGAGATAAGCCAGCCAGGTAGCTAATCACGAGCCCCAGGGCCAGTAGGAGATCCTGCCTCGGAGATAAGGTGGAAGCTCTACTTGGTAGCAAACCCCTTTAGCCCTCTCGAGACAGAGACAGACAGATCTCTGTAAGTTTGAGGGCAGCCTGGTCTACAGAGTGAGTTCCAGGCCAGCCAGACCTCCACAGTGAGACCCTGCCTCAAAAAATACAACAACACATGTACATGCATGCACACGCCTGTCTTGTACACACAGACACACACACAAAGGTGTGTCCCCCGTCCCTGAGCAGTTCGTATAAGAGTGAGCTGACAGTTTCAATGAAGAGTCTGAACAAGGCCACTGAGGCTCAAGAGAGAAGAGGTCCCCCTCCCATCTGGGAAGCCACCTGTGGTGGCAGCTTCATCAAAACCTTACACGAATACCTCAAGAACATACAAATGAAAGCACAGAGCACATACGCACACACCTCTCTTCAGGTAAGAGACACTTTGGAAGGGTGGCCTGTGCCTCTGTGGCCAGCACCACACACCTCCAAAAACATCATTTCCAGAATAGGAGAGATTTTACACACATATCCATGTGCTTACTACCAATTCTAGCAGCTGGTGGTGTAACAGAAACCCCACCTCCAGGATCCCCACCCACCTACCCACCAGGTACCCCCCCATCAGATACTCCCATACACATACCTTTGCTTTGTGAGCTTGATGAAGAATCTTTAGTGTATCTGAAAGAGAAAGAAAATAAGTTCTTTCTTCACACAGATGTACCTAAAACCTCTGTTGTAATTACTAGATGAAGTAACTGGAATAGCCGAAACCTTCCTCTATGAACATACCTATCTAAAATCTGTTCTACTGTAAAAGGTAATGCATTTCAGCAAGTCATACACATTATAGGAGACCACAGGTAGAGTTCAATGGTGGAGTGTTGCCTGGCATATGAAGGTCCTGGGAGGAGAAGGGAAGGATGGCTGGGAGGAAGGAAAGAGGAAGGAAAGGAAGAGAGAAGAACAAGAGGGAGAAAAAAAGAAAGAGGGAGGGAGAGAGATACACAAAGATATTTTAAATTGTTACGTGTCCAACCTTTTCACATTGAGAGAGATGAAATTGTTATCTACAAAGCTCACAATTGAGAACCATCCAATTACAAAAAAGAAGAAAAAAAGGCCTGTGGGTCAGAGCCCTATGTGGGCTCCAAGTTTACTCTTTTGATATGCAGCACTGCAACACTGTAGTCTGAGGACTCTCAAGGACCACTAAAAGCTGAGTGAACAATTAAAAATCCATGTATTAATCGTAAGTTAAGACAAATGACCAGCCAGGTTCATGTATGTGTGGTAGCACACATCTTTAATCTCTGTATTCAGGAGACAGAGGCAGGCAGATCTCTAAGTTCCAGGCCAGTTCCAGGGCAAGTTCTGGCCAGGGCTGCATGGTAAGACCCTGTCGTTAAAATTTAAAACAAACAAACAAAAACCCACGTAAGTGAAAAAAAAAAAAAAAAACACTTAGTGGTTTCATAAAAACCACTAAGCCCTTAGGGTAGTTATAAGGCCTCCAGGTCAGATGATCAGGCTGAAAATGTGCCGTTACCTTCAGAATTCAAACATTAGGAGTCATGAGAGAACACCAGTGCCCCAAAGACGCCAACATCTGTTATTTCTTTTCGTGTGTATATGTGTGGACACATGTGTACAGATGCGTGTGTGTGTGTGCCTGCACATGCATGTATGCATACACGTCTGCATGCATATATACATGCACATGTGTGTACGAGTACATGTTTGTGTATGTGCACACACATGGAGGCCGGAGGCTAGCGTCAGGTGACTTCTATTGCTCTCCACAGTGTTTACAGACAGTCTTTCACTGAACCTGGAATTTGCACACTCTGCTTTACTGGCTTGCCTGTGAGTCCCATGGAGCTCCCTGTCTCTGCTCTGGCAGAGCTGGCATTTTGGGTATGAGCCACCACGCCAGCATATTATGTGAGTACTGGGGGGTCAAACTCAGATTGCTGCGCTTAAGAGACAAGCTTTTTACCCTCTGAGCCTGCTCCATTTGAACCTAACTCACTCTAAGTCCTGTGCTGAAAGCAGCTCACTGTATTTTCACCACAGGCTATTTCTCTCCACTTGGGTGAAACTCAGGCCCTGGATTCCCTGCTGTCTGCCTGTGGTTGAAGATGTGATCTGAGCTTCCTGATCAGATGCCCATGGCCATGCTGCCCCACTGTTATGGACTCTCCGTCTGGAACCACAACCCAGTATAAACTCCTGCATTTAAAAACATTTTACAAAGCCCTCCAACTCTAAGGTAATCGGCCCCTCGTTACCTAGCAGACACAGGCATTCTGCATACTTGAATTATAAAAGTTTCTGGTTCTCCACTTCATTTTTTAAACCATTTAATTACAGTATCATGACTGCGATGTATGCTTCTATCTAAATAAGCCCCCAACAGTTCACTAAACTTCATTCTACTGGTCACAATGTAATGAAGACTCTGTATGAAGGCAGGGTGTGCTACGCTCATCTCAGCACAGTGTAAGGGGACTCGTGGCTCCTCCATCCTCCTTTGGCATTGGACTTGAACATGTGCTCATCTACACTGCGGGCAAGCACTCGCGCACTGTGAATTACTCATTATTTTCAACAGACTGGCTGGGGAGACGGATCAGCCAGTAAAGAGCTTGTGGTCCAAGCAGGAGGCCCTGAGGCCCCTCCCCAGAACCCATGTGAAAACGCTGGGTTTCTTGGCACTGGGGAGGAGGTGACCAGAACCCTGGAGCTCCCTGGCTGGCCTAGTCCAGCCAGGTTCAGGGAGAGACCCTGACTCAAAGTAAATAAATAAGGTGGAGAGTGCTACAGGAGAGTACCAGATGTCAGCCGTTGACCTGCACACACCTGCATACGTGTGCACCTCCCGCACACATATGTACACATACCAATACATCCATACATAAATACGGAGAGAAAGGCATCAACTGTCATCTATTACAATATTTTTTATTACTGTAATTTTAACACTAGCTCGACACCCTGGGACCACAACTACAGACTCTTTAACAAACCTATTTATCTAGTTTCTTAGGTAACTAGTTTGTGTTGGGATGCATTCATGCCAAGGCATGAGTGTGGGTCTCGCAGCCAGTTCTCTCCTCCCACATGAGTCCTGGTGATCAAACGAGGTGATCAAGCTTGGGGTTTAGTGTCTTTCTTTACTTGCTGAGCCATCTGGCCAATAACTCTTGTTTTTTTTTTTTTTTTTTTTTTTTTTTTGAGACAGGGTCTCACTGTGTAGCTCTGGTTATCTCAGAATTCACCATGGAGACCAGGCTGGCCCCCAACTCAGAGATCTGCCTCCTGAGTGCTGGGATTAAAGGTTGGCTTAACCCTAGACTCTGAAGAAATAAAAACCAATACAACCTAAGCAAAATATGATTGTCAGGAATATAAATATACCCCAAATACGGAAGTAAGTTTACATTGGACCCAGAAAAAAAAGCAAGCATGACTTTTAGATTATCTACAATTCTGAGTTTCCTACTGTATTCTTTTTGTCACTAAAAGTCTGTGTTGAGACAAGGGAGAGGCCAGCAGAAATTTATTTTAACTAAAAGAAGCTTAAGGTGTGTAGATTCCACCTGCAAACTGTAATCTGACCTTAGGAGCATTAAGCGCATTCTACAGGTTTTGTTACTGAGCTTTTTAAAAGTTGTGTCTGGTAAGTGTGTGTGTGTTTGCACATGCAGAGGCCAGCACTGAAAGTTGGGTTTTGTTCTCCAGGTCCCATCCACCCTGACTTAAAAAAAAAAAGATGTGTGTGTGTGTGTGTGTGTGTGTGTGTGTGTGTGTGTGTGTGTTGGGGGGGGTGCCCACAAAGGCCAGAAGAGGATACTGATCTGCTGGAACTGGAGTTACAGGTGATTGCGAAACATTAGAACTGGATGCTTGGAACTGAACTCAGATCCTTTTGTTGTTATTATTGTTGTTTTTAATTTTTTTTCTTCACAGTTTATTCATTATATATCCGGATTAAAGCCCCTTCCCTCAACTCCCCGAGTCCCATCCTCCCTCCCTTTTTCCCCTATCGACTTCCCCTAGTCCACTGAAAGAGGGAGTTCTCCACTATTGCCATCTACCCAGAGCTTCTTAAGTCTCATCAGGACTGCCTGGATCCTCTTCCTCTAGGGCCTGGCAAGGCTGCATCATCAGGGGCGAGTGATTAAAGAGCAGTCAACTGAGTTCATGATAGAAGCAGCCCCTGATTACCTCACTCAAAGATCCACATGGAGACTGAGCTACCAATCAGCCACATCTGAGCAGGGGATCTAGGCCCTGTCCATGCATGGTCCTCCGTTGGTGCATCAGTCTCTGCAGGACCCCCTGGGTTTACAAGGTTGGTCTCCTTGTGGGGCTCCTGTCCCCTCCATGTCCCTCTAATTCCATCCCTCTCTTTCTCCATAAGACTTTCTGTGCTCTGCCCAAAGTTTGGCCCTGAGTCTCTTGTAGCCTTCACAGGAATACACACATACAGCACCCCCACACAGACACATATGCAAATAAAAATAAGATCTTTTAAAAATATAAAACAGGGGCTATAAAGGTGGCTCAGCAGTTAGGAGCACTTGCTTCTCTTACAGAGAGTCCGAGTTTGCTGCTAGTTCCCAGTACACACATGCTGGCTCCCCACTGTCCATACCTCCAGTTATAGGGAGTCTGACACACTCTCCTGGCCTCTGTAGGTACAATATGTACATGGCACATTTATATACATACAGGCAAATACACACATCACAACAACAGAGAAAATGGGGTTCTGGGTGTTTAAAATAAATAGCATGTGTATTGTAGAGTATATAATATACCAGCCCATGCACTGTTCGATTTCATACCGCCTTAAAAACACACAACGCTAGCCAGGCATAGTGGCACACACCTTTAATTCCAGCACTCAAGAGGCAGAAACTCTCTGGGAGTTTGAAGCCAGTCTGGTCACGTGGATCTCTGTGAGTTCCAGGGCAGCCGGGGTTTCATAGAGAGACTCAGTTTCAAAAAACATTCAGTCAATCAATCAATCAATCAATCAATCAATCGATAGATCGTATTTAAAATCCTGTACACAAAGCAGAGCATCTGCAGAGACTCATGAAGTCAGGATTATCGTGTCCAAACGCACAGTGGCTGCGCCCATGGGATGAACAGCTGCATCATCAGACGGAGACACTACTTAAATGGGAGCAAGGTCTCAGAAAGCACTAACACTGGTGGCTGTCAGAGCCCTTCACCCCTCAGCACAGGACCAACCAGCAGAACTGCTCAGTACACTGCCCTGTTCCCACAGGCCGGACCAGGTGAGCACGGCAGATGAAAAGCCGGCACCAAACCTTTCCTAAGGGAGACAAAGCTACTGACCGTTACACATCCAGACCCAGCCAAAGAGCCTCTCCCTCAGGACCTACTGGCTCCTGCAATCCCTTCTCATCTTTCTGCCGGTTCACCTAAATATGCAGAAATGCTATGACACAGTGGGGTTAATGAGACAGATACTTTCTACCCCAACGAGTCTCTGATGGTTACGCTACCTTATACTATGTTTATATTGTTGGGTCTACGTATGGGCACACAAGTGTGTCTGTATGAGTGTGGAAACCAGAAGACAGCATTGACTCTCCTTCCCTACAAGCCATCCACCCTGTCACGCATTCATTCATTTATTCATTTTTGAGACAGACTTCCTCACTGGCCTTGGGCTCCCTGATTACATTAGGCTGGTCTGGCCAGCAAGCCCCAAAATACAGGTGTCTCTGCCTCCGAAGCCCTGAGATTATAAATGTGCCATTGTGCCCAGCATGTTTTATATGAGTTTGGAGGACTGAACTCAGATCCTCACAGTTGTTCAACAAGCACTTTACCAAATGAGCCATCACCATCTTCCCTGCTTTCTTTTTTTAAAATTTATTTATTTTTATTGTATGTGCATGGTGTTTAGCCTGCATGTACATCTGTGTGAGGGTGTCAGCTCTTAGAGTTACAGAAAGTTGTGAGCTGCCATCTGGGTCCTGGGAATTGAACCAGGGTCCTCTGGAAAAGAAGTGAGTGCTCTTAACCGCTGAGCCATCTCTCCAGGCCCCTCTCTGCTTTCATTATTCTAAAATTTATCTTTTTGAAGGAGCTGAGACGGCACACATTTGCCTATACACACACACACACACTACAATATGCAAAAAAGGGAAATCATATGTAATTTGCAGGTGGATTCACATTTACGATTTTGAGATTCTATTCAAGGCATTCTCCTTCAAAAGCTGTGAAGGCCACAATTGAGAAACTTCATATTTACCTCAGTCTGCTTTTTATTCCTTTCTCTGCTTCAATACTGAGTATGTAAATGCTTTAGGTCTCATAAATCGAAATACTTCCCACTCGGTGCCTCTGCCTCCTGCCTGGCTGTCTCTGTGACCTCACAATTAGACTATGGGTATTAAAATGCAGGCGCACGGAGATTGTGATTTTGAAAGGCTGTAGGTCATCGGTTGACCTATCAGATGGAAACGGAATGAAAAGCCGCTCTGGAAAATGACTTAGGGTTATAAAAAATTTACACTTTCAAATGTCTGCACTAATTAGCGGGAATATTTATTGGATATGCTGCAACTTTCAAGCACTGTCTCAAATCAAGTTTGCTGAGTGCCACTCTACTGAGCGAGAGGACCTAGATGGTTTTATAACAAATAATGACACAGAGCCTGTGGCTTTAGTGCTGCAGTTTTACTTTGTATTGCATTTCATTTCTTTTGCATCTATGTATGTGCACGCATTTATGCCAAGCATGCTATTCCCCACAAGCATGCCACTTCCTATACATTACAACTGAGGTTCCCAGCATGCTGCAACTACTCCTACACTCCTTTAACAACCGTATCACACACAAACACTTATGTAATATAGATATTCAAGCTGGAGCCTTGCCCATACTAAGCATGTGTTGCTCCCTAAGCTGTGGCCCCTGCTCCTCCATACTGACTTTAATTTAGAGTAAATTAATATTTGAACATCACATTTGAATTCATGTAAACAACAATAATGCAAAATTATATATTTTTTAAATAATAAAAGAATTGGTTACCATATTTGTAATTTCTGAGTGGTGGTGGCAAGCCGGTCCTCAAAGGGACATCTGCAAAACAAAGTAATTTTTCATTATATTGAAATAGGATGTAGTATCTGCTCTCCAAGACCCAAACGGGGTCTCATGTAGCCCAGGCAGTCCATGAACTCCATGTGTAGTCAATAAAACCTTGAACTTCTGACCCTCCAGCCTTCGCCTCTCAACTGCTGGGATAACAGGTGTGTTGCCATGCCTGGTTTACATGGTGCTAGGGTGGAACTCAGGCACCCCCAACTGAACTACATCTCCAACTACAGACTAAACTAATTTGAAAAATTGGACAAAATGAAGCTAAAGCAGCATCAAATCCAGGGGTCATTTACTATAACAAACCCATCCCTGTGCTGCGGAGCTGGCAGCCACTGACCTGAGAAGTCAGTGAAACTATTGAAAGAACGATTCCTGCGGTAGGGAGAGGCTCAGTGAGAAAAGTACCTACTGCGTAAGTATGGGGATCCACATTTGGATCCCCAGACCCACAGAGAATGCCAGGAATAGTGGTAGATTTCTGAGCTCCCAGAAGGGGAGGGACAGATCCAGGAGGACCCCTGGAGGCAGGCAGCCAGCTGAGCCCGATAAAGGAGGTTCAGATTCAGTGAGAGGCCTTTCTCAAAACACCGAAGGTGGAGAAAGATAGGAAAGATGTTGGACACTGACCTCAGACCTTCGCACAAATGTGTGCTCAACTGAATGTATATCTGAGCACACATGTGCGGACACCCATGCCAACAAGTGTAGTGAGGATTCTGGTTCCTTTAAAAACCTAGTTATATTGGAAATATGTTTTCGTTTCAATCACAGGTGTGGGGTATGGGGCTGCTTCAGACTGACCGCAGCAGCTGGCTATGATGTGTCTCGTGCTCCAGCAGAGATGTGATTTTTCCAGCTGATGATAGTTTACATTTTGAATTCTGGGGACTCTTCAGAGGGTATAAATGTGAGAGCCCCAGAGGAGCTCTGGCAGCTGCTGTCCCTGCTGAGCCTTTTGTTGTTTGCTGGGTGCTGGTTGGAGAGATCATTACAATGAAGGCTGGACTGGCCCCAAGGAACTCGATGCCCCGAATCAGCAGCAAATAGTCTAAAAAGAGCTATACCTTCTTCCTCTCTTTCCCTCTTTCTCTCCTACCTAGTGTTGGGGGGTTGGATGGGATTGGGGTAGAGAAGGGTGGTAGGTAAAAGAACCCAATAAAGTAACGAAAAAGTATGGTTACAAACAAGTAACCACATTACACATAAAACACAGTCAACACCACACACAGAAGAACTACTACTTTATTAAATACAAGGTTCTCTACGAACACTCAAAACATGGACTATCATGCATGTACGAGCTATTATTATTATTTTCATATCATTGATGTCTGCTTAGCACATAAATCAGAGATGCTTTTGAGGGTCTTTGGCAACTACTGGAAACCAGTGACCCAGAACACTATTACTCCAATACCATATAAAATAAATATTCTAACTCAGCAGAGGATATGCAACAATACAGAGTAAACATTCTTTTAAAATCTATCCCAAATCCCAATATCAGTTTTAACTATTAACAGCTGATGATACAACACCTACAAAAGACAAGTTTTGGCAAATACCAAAACATGTAAGACTAGAGAGAGGGCCCAGTGGGTCAAAGTGCAAGCCTGATGATCCCCAGAACCCACAGTGAAACGAGAAAACTGACTTCTGAAAGCTGTCCTCTGGCCTCCAAATACTGTGGCACACGTACATGTACACTCACACACACACATCACACACACATAAACACACTTGTATGAGTCTGCACATACACATGTGTGAGAAATGACATACAAAGGCACCAGGTGAAGCAATGTTCACAGTGGCAACCATCTGGGAAAATCCAAATGACCTTTGGTAAGTACTTGTTAAATACAGTGTAATCTGCACAATGAAACATTTCTCCACTGTAAAAGAAAATGAAGAAGCATTCTGCCAAGGTAAGATTTTCAAAATATATATGTCAAGGGCAAAGAGACATAAGGGGAATATGTAGGCACCACGGAAGCAATAGAGGGTAAAACGGTAGTATTTATTTTGGGGCCAACAAGCAATAAGATGGCTCAGTGAATAAAGGTGCTTGCTGCACAAATCGGGTGACTCCACAAAGTTGTCCTCAGATCTCCACATGCACATCAGGAATGTGCACTCTCACACACACAAGATAACAAGTTAATAAGAAGAAGGACACGGGTTGGTATTTTCTTGTCCTGGCATGGGTGGTGCTCTGCTCAGACGGACAAGAGAGGAGAATTTTCATTGTATTCCAATATGGTGAACACATTAGGTACAACAGAAAACTGAAGAGAACAGAGATGTGGCTCAATGGTAGAGTCCCGTCTGACATATACAAGGCCTAGGTTCGATATCCACTCTGGGAAGACAAAAACAAAAGAAAGCCAGACAAAGAAGCAAACAGAACTCACCCATCTGAATAAGAAATGTGTTCAAAGGGCATTTGCCTTTTGGAGGGCCAATAACACACAAAGTAAATGTATCCGTTTATCGTGCCTACACCAGCTATCCCCAGGGGGACAGCAAGCAGTCACCAAGCCCCCACTAAGGCAGGCAGCCAGGTCCTGCTGTGCTCTTCAGAGCTGCTCGCCCCGCCTGCTGCACATGAGACTCACAAGCCCAGCACAGATGGGCCAGGCTCACAGCAGACCGGTGAATGTGTACACTGTGTGTGAGAGAGACAGTGAGAGCGACAGACAGAGAGAGACATGACAGACAGAGAGAGACATGTGGACACACGTGCAGCCCATGCATGTACATGTCGCTGTGTATATAGGCGTGCAAGGCGCATGTGCACGCATGTGTGTAAGGGGCAGAAGTTGATGTCGAGCACCTTCCTCAACAACCACCATATTTTTTGAGACAGGGTCTCTCACTGATCACGGAGCATGCTGAGCCAGCCAGCCTGGCTGCCCGGTGAGCCCCAGGATTCGCCCTCTGGCTTCCCTGTGCTGGCATGTGCCACCATGCCCAGCTGTTATAGGCACTGGGATACACATTCAGGTCCTCACACTTGTAGGGCAAGCACTCTACAGACTGGGCCACCTTTCTCATGCTCCCACAATTTTTACACACAGACAGTGCAGTCCTTACCCAGATCCCAACAAAACGCTTCACAGAAATAGAACCAAGACCTGCATTCCTGTGGAGCCGCAAAAGCCCCCCAGTAGCCAAAGCTTTGTTGAGCGAAAAAAAACCCACCAGAGGCATCATACTGCCTGTGTTCAAAGCATACTAAAAGCTAAAGAAACACAGACAAGAGACTGGGGTGGAACTCAGTGGAAGGCTTGCCTAGCATGCATGAGGCCCTAGGCTTCCATCTCAGCACAGGATAAACTGGGCATGATGACACATGGCTATAATCTGAGTACTTGGGAAGTTGAGGCAGGGGAATTAGAAGTTGGAGGTCATCTTTGACTACACAGAAGAGCTTGAGTCTGACCTGGGCTACATGAGCTCCTATCTCATAAATATAAATGAATTTTATTTTTTCCAGATTTATTTTTACTGTTGTTAATTGTGTGTATGTGGGAGGGCATACACACATGGCTCGGGTCCCCTGGAGCTGTAGATAAGGCAGTTGAGAGCTGCCCAACACGGGTGCTGGGAGCCAAATTTGTCTCCTCCGTAAGAACAAGAAGAGCTCTTAACCTGTGAGCCATTTTTCCAGCCAAACAACATACTTCCATAAAACAAACAGTATGCAGGCTGGGAGGGAGGGAGAGAGGGGAGGGAAGAGGGGGAGAGGAAGGGAGGGAGGGAGAGAGGGAGGGAGAGGGAGAGGAAGAGAGGGAGGAAGGCTGGTGGGAAGGGGGAGGGGTGAGAAGGAAAGTAAAGGAGAACCCATGTATTTAATGTTTTGCTCTGAGCCAGAAATGGACTCCCTGAAAGCGTTCCAGTGAAGAAGGTCTGGAGCTACTGCCTTGTCGTAGAGATGCGGAGAGAGGGGCCAGGAGCAATACACCTTTCTTTACATCTCAAGTCCACTGTTCTGTCCACCAACAGTCCCGTGGGCACCGGCTCCTTGGATGTTGCTACAGCCATGCTGGTTTACCTAAAACGTCTCTATTCTCCACTAATTCAAAAGTCCCTGGAGATTAAGACACCATGGGCTGTCTTCTCAGACTGTTGGGCAGCGCTCAGCACAGAAGGTAGGGCAGAGGCCACAGCCTGCTCGCCTCACTGTGTGGTAACTACCTAAAATTCGCCCCTGGTATGTGGCAGGCACTCGTGAACCCCAAAAAGGAAGAAACACTGTCAAATTCCATCACCTGGCAGTTTTGAGCACCAAGGCTCCAAGAAGGTAACTAATGAAGCCCTGGTGGCTGAGGCTGGGACGGGCCTGGAACGTGCGTGTGTGTGCACATATGAAACAAAAGTTAATGTTAATACAAACATAAACTCATCCATGCAGAAGAATTCAGTACAAATGATACAGAAACCCCACCCTCAGGAATCAAGGACTAACTCCTTGCTCTTCGACTGCAGACTGTGCACACAAATAACTTCCAAACCGTGGACGCTGGGCCTGGGCATGGGCGCAGTCGGTAGAGTGTTTCCTAATATGACTGACACTCTCGAGTTGATGTCCAGCACTGCAAACTGAGACATGGTCTATGCCTCTACCTCAAAGACCTGGTAGGGAGAGGCAGGAGGAATAGATGCTCAAGGTCATTCTCAGTTCTGTAGCCAATTTGAGAACATACTGGGATAAGTGAGACCCTATTTCAGAAAGAGAGAAGGAAGGAAGGAAGGAAGGAAGGAAGGAAGGAAGGAAGGAAGGAA